TTAAGGTTTATTTGGGACCTTAAAATCAACCTGACGCTGCAGTTGGCTGCCATGTTGGGTCAGTATAGGGAACTTATATCACCGTATCGTAAGCCTTCTGGACGCCCTGTGCTTCATCTCAAAGTTCTCCACTGTGAGGGGCTTTTTCCCACCAGTCTGACACCTTCTCACATTTTGTAAAAGCCACAGAAGATTGCCAAATAATTTGGTGCGGAGTAGTGATGCCATCACACTTCTCGCAATTGATTTGGACCCGTCTGTCTGAATATATCTTTTAATGATGTTTGAATCTTTAACGAGTCACCGCTTGAACTTTATTGAGCTTAGTATGTATGTATACAAGAAACCGCGTGAATATATGAGTAATATAGATATATAGAATAATTCGCATTACGCGGGTTCGCTTTGCTTGGGCTCGACTGTTCTTACAACTTCCTCTACGTTTACGGGTTTTATGCCTGTCCTGATGCAGTATAGCAGTCTGAGTGTCAAGGTTTCTTCGCGTTTTATTCGCTTAATATCCCGGCGGTTTCTTTACACCTTTTCGTTTTAGCGGGGTCGTACGCTCCGTTTCCCACTGCGGCCTGCTTTGCTCTGAATGTCCACCACCCGGAGCACTGCGTCTTGCGCCAAATGAGGTGGACAAAGAGAGCTACGCAAGGGGCTATAATTTCCCGTTGTCTGCGTTAGTTGCGGCCCAGTAGCTCGTTTCCTTTTATATAAGTCTCATTGTTCGCGTTGCAAGCGCTTACCTGTAAGTTACAACAGAAACAGAACTGTAACAACATCACCCACGAGAGAACCCTGAACGAAGGCATTGCATTGCAAACGCTCTTTCTTTGTCGACTGGGCGACCTTGACAGAAGAATAATGTCCTTTTCTTCGCCTCTGGTCGTTTTTTTTTTTTTTTTTCGCTTCATCGGTGTCCGTCTCGGTTCACCGATGGCACGTGGCCGGGTAGTTGTGGTGGCTCTCGAAAGAAATACACTCGCAGAGTTCCCCCGTATTCACTCCCCAAAGGCGACTGCATGAACGGAAAGTCAGGTTTGTTGGTCATAATTTTTTGAAACAGTAATGAATAATGGGGTGAAACGTCCGAAAACCACCATGTGATTGTGAAAGACGCCGTAGTGGAGGGCTCCGGAAATTCTGACCACCTGGGCACACGCACCTCAAGCATTTTCACCTCTATCGAAATTGCAGCCGCCGCGGCCGGGATTCGATCCCACGACCTGCGGGTCAGCAGCCGAGTACCTTGTCCACTAGACCACCGTGGCGGGTAACTTTTTGAATTGTACAGCGCAGAATACAGGTCGAAACACGATAAAGAAATTGAAGTTAAGCGATAAAAAAACTGAATTCCTGAAGGTCACGCACTAAGCGGTAAGTAGCTTGGCTTACTTCTTGTGCTCTTTTATTTTGATCATAATTTTTTTTCTTTGCGCATGCGGGTACACGTTCCTGCCTGCATCGTATATGCAGCGAACCTTCACAACTTCTTCGTCTTTGATTGATATGTGGGGTTTATCGTCCCAAAACCATCATATGATTATGAGAGACGCCGGAGAGGGCTCCGGAAATTTCGACCACCTGGGGTTCTTTAACGTGCACTGAAATCTGAGCACACGGGCCTACAACATTTCCGCCTCTATCGGAAATGCAGCCGCCGCTGCATGGATTCGATCCCGCGACCTGCGGGTCAGCAGCCGAGTACCTTAGTCACTAGACCACCGCGGCGGGGCAGCTTCTTCGTCTTTCGTCCTGTACTCTGCGCTGTACAATTCAATACGTTATAAAAGGCGAAATGGAATGGGTGGAAAAACTTCACTAATTGTCCGGCAGCGGCCTTCTTTATCTTCTCAGTCGATTGCCCCGCCACCTTGCGAAAGCTTTTCTCTGCACCTAACGCGGTTTTGCGCTGCATGCCTCCTGCATTGGAGGCATTGCAAGCATTCTGCACTGCACATGGTTCTGCACATACTGCGGGACCGGCCCCTGTTTCAACAAGCGACTATGTATCGCGAAGACGTCCGTCGTCATGTAATACCACGTTTTGCGACGTCATAGTTACGTCATAAATCTTCCCAAACTCTTGAAGCCAACAGGCTTGCACCGGTGATTATAAACTTACTGTGCTATGATGACTGTGAAGTGTGACGTCGTTGTGCTGTCTCTTTTCTCTCTCTGCCTTTGCTTTCCTTTCTGTTCCTTTGTTTCTTGTCTATTCATAAGGTCATGTCGTGTTGTGACGTCACCACGTAATGATGATATTTTACATCACTTGGATTGACACCGACACTCACGGTCAAATTTCGTGTTTGGCGAGGCGTCGAAGGCCGTAGTTTGAATAAATTGTGCCAGGGTAACTTTTTTGTTACAAATTTATCCGTTCCGGACTATCTCCGGTGTAGTTTCGCGGCGTTGTTGTTCGGGCGTCCGTTTTACACCGATATACCAATATGAACTGTCTTTTTACCATTCTGCAGATGATATTTTACTGGATAATTTGATGTATTGGTTTACTTATCTCGCTTAAGCACATTCTTGCTTCGCTCCAGTCATTTTTATTTTCACGTTTTAATTAATCACGCTGAGCATAGTTGCGTGCAGCACTAGCGTAAAGGCTTGTAAAGCCTGACAGAGCATCGATTCCCGCTTTCCGTCAGTCGCCTATATTCTTCTCATGCACATTTAAACATTAAATAAACCATAGCAACAATTTGCACATTGGTTAGGAAAGCAAACACATGCCTGCAGTAAGTATATTCAATAATTGCGGAAAGTATGTACCGGTCGTGTACTCGTGAGGCCATCATCAATATAACACTAATATAACGCTATGCAGAACTGCGGATTGCAACAAACAGAAGAAAACAGCGGGTAACGTTCGCACGATCCATGTATGTACAGGGGAACATGCAATCACCATCTTAATTGATTTGTGTTTTAGTTCTGCTGATAATTTGATCATTGTTGATTTATGCCCTTTTTTAGCGTACCAAAATATTGCAACCTTGACATTGTTTCAATTGATAAGTCCCTATTTATTCGATAGAATGACCGTCTAACGGATTCCTACCAGAGTGTCAAGAAGCGGTCGAGTTGAATAAACTTTTCGCTCATATATGTTTTTTATTGGTCATATGTCTCCATTTTTTTCAGCGTGAATATTGATTGGCTTGACAAGTTTCATTATTTATGAACAGTTATATAGCCGAAAAACTGTTCTGTGGATACAGGCGTTCCCGTTTCGTACAATTTCCCGGTCACCTTCGTTCTGTGCGCGCGACAAATTTTTGTGAAAATGAGTTTTGTAAATTGCGTATTGTTTGTATAAACTGGCAACTATAGAAATATACGCACGCGCATATATGCACGGCTGTGTTTTCATATCGTATTCACGTGCTGATAGATTCTGCAGACGAGAATGTCGTTGACGGTGCAATCGTCTGGAGGTGATCGCGTTTCGGCAAGGGGTCTTTGTCGCAAGCATGGTTGCTGTGAGGCGAAGCCTTGCCGGTTGGCTTGTGCGTGCGAGATCATGAGCGTGACCCGCCTCTTTAAACTTTTTTTTTTTTTTTTTTGCGGGGGTAGGGTGCACCTTCTTGATTTCGGGGGGAGGGTACGTCTTTTATATGGTCATTTTTTCCTCTGTATGACATGGCGAAAAAAATTTCGGAGAGGAGGGGGGGGGGGGCGGTGTGCCACCCGCTGGCTACGCCACTGGTTTAAAGGACTAGAGCACAGCCGTACCTGAACGTAAAAGAACTTAATGTGGTCCAAGTGAGTCCTGCAGTAAGCGTGCTGCATTCGTGACGAAGCTGCGGAAATGTGCCCCTGAAATATTTTCAGTACCCCCCTCCCCCAAAAAAGAAGAAAAGAAAAGAACAACGTAAAAAAAAAATGTTCGCGAGACAAGAGCGCCGTGCTATTTTGAAGGTTTGCAAGGAATTCCACATTCCCATGATTTCTTTCGTTTTGATTCTCTTGTACACGCACTGTGCGGCACTAGTCACGCAAAAGTACATGGTTGTGTTGTAATTATGATAATGTGGCTGTGCGGTGATATTGTTGTCTCTTGTTGCTACTGTGTCGAGCTGTGCAATCTTGAAGTTCAGAACTGATCAACTAGCTTGTAAAAAAGTACTTATTCAGTATGTCCTTGTGTAATGACTTCATCCTCAACACACTCATATCGCGTTTTTTTTCTTTTTTTCACAGCGGAGCTGTTAAGGTTTGCGTTATGCCGTAAGGCGTGGCCTGATAACTATTGCTATCATAAACCATAAACAGGCACGCGCCTTCTTCGTCCTCTTCTCCTGCTCGCACCCAGAACACGCGCACCGGTTTGTCCGGCATGGGATGCAATAACTCTTATGGGTGAGGGAACGAAGAAAGGGAGAAAGAACGAAATAGAAGGAAAGGGACTGAGAATTGAAAAAGATAGAAGACGACAGAAGGCGCACAGAGTGAGGGAGGCAGAAATAAATGAAGGGAAGAGAACAAGACAGGTAAATAATTCGACATAGAGAGACGGAGAAACAGACTTGCCATATATAGTGTAGTATATCAAGTAATGGAAAGGGAAAGTTGAGATGTGGAGGAAAGAAGTGAGGAGTTGAGAGGGCACTCCATATAGCGCAGCTTTGTATAGTATTGTAAAGTACAGCATCGTATAGTAGAGCAATGAGTTGAAAAGTACTGTGGATATGTGGAAGAGGGAAATGAGATGAGAGGGCAGGCCATACAGCATAGCCCTATATAGTATAGTATAGTATAGTATAGTATAGCAAGAGGTGGGAAAGGAAAGTGGGGGTAAGAGGAAGGGAAAGGAGAAAGGTAACGCCAGCCTGTTCCGCTGCTTTTTCAGTCTTCGCACCACTGGTGCGTTGGTGTCCCGTTTTTTTTTCACGAAACTCATAATTTAACTCAATTTGTGGTGAATTCTAACTGTAAGCGTGTCAACCTCCTCCTCCCCCCCTTCCCTGTTTATGCTGCAGGAGTCCAAGCTGGTGGGAGGGATCAAGCCACGCAGCCGCTACCGGAGCCGCTCCCTCTCGGCGTCGTCCACCGACAGCTACAGCTCGGGTGAGTGCGGGTTCCCGTCGCGTTTCCCGTCTGTCTCGACTGGAGGGTCACGTGGTACGGTGTCGCTCGTGAATCGGCCAAGCCGTATGCACGGACGAGGGCCGCATCGCACTGCGACGACGAATGTATTTTTAATTGAATGCGTTTACGGGGATGAGGCTGGTGCGGCACCGGCCACTTTCTTTCTTCCGTAATAATTTACATCCTGAAGTTGTCAATGAATGCGCGAAATTTGCGCATGCGCATGTCCACTCACACACATCGGCGATGTTCACACGTCAACTGAGTTCACGTGACGCATGGCTTGAACTTCTACCTAGGAGCCAAATTCAATAGCGTCGTGTGGTCGCATAAAACTTGCGTGGACACGAAGTTTGCTATTAATATGTCGAAGCCGTGTTGTGTGTAAATATTCGCATAACTACGTATTGTAGGTAGGTGTTTTGGATATGATACTAGCTAGGGCGTCCATACGTATGTCTCGGTGTTTAATATTTCGTTGTTTCGGTTCTGTCATTCATCTGATAAATATGCGTCGGTGTTTTTCTGTAATACCTCTCCTGTGTACCGTACTATGCCTCAAGAACTGTGTCCAGAATCATCAAACATCGTGGAAGAGTGATATTCGCTTGCTTTCTTCACAGCTGCTTTTTCTGCAGCTGTAGGCATCATGAGATTGTAGAAGACATCATTTGGGACTGCAATTGAGAAAGTAAAGTTTGTGAACTCTTTAATTAGTGCAGGTAGGCGGTTATGTCAAATAGCATAGTTCTATTGATTAATGCGGAAAAACCTTTCCAGCTTTAAGATTTCATATAAGCGATGGAGTATTTGGAAAAAAAAATTATGGTGGGGTATTGAACTTTCCAGTAAATCGGTGTTTGGATGAAGTTCGGTGATTTAAGAATAAAAAAAATTGCACAACTCATCCATTGAAATGCAAACCGCGAAAAAACTGCGAAAGTTAACCAGCGAAACGTGTTATGGTCCACAGAATACACAGCTTTATCAGACATATACCGTTATACACCGATTTGGTTGTCTGAGTTATCTGTTCGGACGGACTTAATCGAGTAGAATCAGCAAATATTTTGTATGCGTTCGATAATGACGGATGAACATGGGTACACTTCACCTGAGTACAAGGGTTGGTGTATTGCGGTGAAGCATTAAGTTTTTTCATAATTTTGGTAAAGCAAGCTGTCTTGCAGGTAAGTAATTTAAGATGGGAAGTGACGAATTTGGAGAGTATTTCGTATGAATACGCTACGCAATTACTTTGAACTGTTTTCACGCGAGATGCACTGTTTCGTCACGCATATGCAATTACTTTGAACAATTTCACGCCATGGTACGCTGGCTGGCGGGTCAATTCAACAGGTTATGGCCACAAATTGTCCGACGATTTATGATGATGGTGATGTTAATATCCTTTTTTCGGTGGCTCTCGCCCACAAATGGGGATGAGTCAAGAAACAGGGGGGCAAGATATGTAAGGTAAACACCCATGAACCTAAAAACAAACGCTGGAACTCGAGATCAAAAATGAAAGACCGAGCGAATGAAAAAAAGCTTAGCAAGCAAGCGGTCTTTACTCTCAGATGGAATTTATGGCCGAGATAATGACGGATTTGCGGCCAAGATTCATGAAGAGATAGAAATAGTCTGACACAGTAATCTTCTCGTTTCATTTATGCGATCGGTCATGCATTTGGGTAATAAAGATTTTTGGAATGGCTTTTTTGTTTTCTGTTTTGTTATGGACGTGTATTCGATATGATCGAAGTTGCATCTTTGGGCAGTGAATGCATGCCTCACACTCCCTTTGAAAAATCCTGTCCTTCCGCCTTTGAACACGCAACAAGTCATCCTAATGAAAGGCTCACCGTGGTGCCATCCATCGCACAAAGAGCGAAACGGAGGAGACAACATGGTAGCCTCAGAGATGTCGCAAACGGAGAAGCGCCGGCTGTCGCCGAGCCTGTTTGGAAATCCGACGGCAGGTGAACGTCTCCAGCAAGAGGGGGCGCTTGGTGACCAGCGGACGGTGGCTCAAAGTGTGTTTTCTCTCTGAGAGATGGCGATACGTACGGCTAGGCGAGCTGCCCCGCTCCGATGGGTTCCGGGACTAGGGCTCCCTATCACCGACCTTCCCGCGCAGAACAATAAATATATAAAAAAAACGTTTTATTCTGCCTCTCGGCCCGATGGCGCACTCGTCCCGATGTATTCGCTTGTATTTTTCAATAAACTCTGCGAGGGAGGAGAATTTCAGGGTAATGCGCGACTTTTTTTTTTCAAATGAAGTTTCATTGATAGCAGTAATTATCAATTAATCAATAAATTGTAATTTTCTAATAGAAACATTAGTGTTTGAACGCTGATATATGCAACAACAACAACTCTCTATTGTAATAGCAAATTAAAAAAAAACAGCAGTGTACCATCATGCCCCTACTGCAAAAACAAACAAACAAAGTTATTGGGAACACGGAACTGTGCTCACGAAGAAAAAAAAAACAAACAATATGGTGGCCTTGGCGACCAACTTTGGGCCGTCGTCCAGCAGGCCCACGAGGAGGCGGAGAGGCCAGGCCTCGACGTCCCCTCGTGGGAGACCTAAGGCCCTGTTGGCGAAAGCTCTGCCGGACTATCCATAAATTTGTTACCAACCAAACCAACGTTTTGCTTTCTTACATATGACCTATAGCGGTTACTAGTATTGTTGTTGGTCATTTGTAAGAATAAACAGAAAAGACAATTTTTTGGGCAAATGAAAATTGGGATCGAAAATTTTGATTTCTTGTAACCTTGAAATTAAAAAGATTGATCGCGAGTTTACGGCACACTTTTTTTTTTCATCGTTGATACCCGTTCTTTCAACGCCTAACTTGACCGCACACGTTCTCTGTCCTTGAATCTACCTCAAGAGCGCTTGAGGTAGATTCATAGCTTGATACTGTATAGAGAGATCGATGTTCTGGCAGCAAAAGTTGACATTCCCGCAAGCAATGGTTGAACCAGAACTTTTTGCGTAAGGTATAACTTTCAATTTTCCGCAACTTCGTATACTAAGTTACTTGCTCGCCCTATAGAACACACAGCTCGGGCATGACAAACGCAGCTGTGGACATCTCGTTGGCCTGCACTCTGCGTACGTCAGAGATGTAGTCGTGCTGCCCGGTGAACTTTGTTGCCTGTAGCGGGCGCGAAAAGAGCCTATGTCAGAGATATCCACCCAGGTGTACTGTCGGCGTCAAATGAAACGCGAACAGCGGCGAGCCTTCGCGATGGTATAGTGCGTGCCGTCCACTTATCACCATGAATAGGCACACACTTGTACGCAGAGTTGCCGAACAGGATGCGCACGTCAACGGTGATACCTGGACGGCACACACTATACCATGACGAAGACTTGCCGCTGGTCGGGTTTCATTTGACGACACTGAAAGTACACGTTTGGGCACGAGCCCGCATGGCGCCTCGGGTTTCAGGGACAACAAAGGAAAGCTGAACGCTCCTGCGATAGAACTGAGAGGCGGTTACTGTATCGGTTGCAGAAAACTAGAGAGATAAGTAAAGAAAAAAGATAAATAGGGGAAAGATAAGCACATTCTATCACAAAGAGCAGAGAAATAGGATGTGAATACCTAGTCTTTCTTTTTTCTTATACAGCAAGATACATTTATTCGAAGTAAAGAAGACATTAGACCAAATTAGAAAAAAAAGTTTTTTTTGTGTTGTTGAAACCATGCAAGTGCAACGCCTACATTCTCGCTTTCGAGAAAAAAAGTAAGAAAAAGTAAAATGGCCTTAAGCGGCTGTAAGTACGAGTTGTGCGTAACACAGGACGTTTCGCGAGCGACATTAATTATTATTAGTCACTATTACAGTTCCAAACACAATCCCCTGTAGTCGTCAATAATCGAACCGCGTCCGCTTCACCGACCAACCACAGTAACACGTAACGCGCCTTAATGGGGTAATGGAATCGTGTGTGTGTGTGTGTGTGTGCATATATACGAGGGCAAGCAACAAAATTATCTACACTTTTCATTCTACAGTTGTTTTTTAACGTGAAGCTAAAGTTATATAAGCATGATGTGCATAGTATCTCACTCCTTATCAATGCACTTGGTCCAACGGTCAGCGAGCTTACGAATTCTTTTCGAATGGAAGGTTTCCGCTTCGTAGTTAAGTCACTTTCGCCTCGCATTCTAGAATTCGTCTAAATCTGGGGCAGATCCGTGACCACGTGCAGCATCCTTGGCCTATAAACGCACAAAAGTCACATGGAGCTGGGTCCTTGCAGTTGGGAGGGTGTTCCATCGACACATTTGTTTTTATCTTGGTGATGGTTTCAATAGCGGGATGGGCCTTGTGTGGCCACGCATTGTCATACTGCAACGAAGCTTTCTTCGACAACAAACCTCGGCGTTTGCGGCTAATTGCGAATTCTCGATCCCTAAATACGCAGTTTTATATGTTAGCGCTCTCTTCTCGTATTGCGAGAATAGTCTGTGATGAGTATTTGCACCTTCGACACCCTCCGATTAGAGGAAACGGATCCATTGCTCGTTGTTCCTCTTTGGTGGAAGCTGCCCCGCCGCGGTGGTCTAGTGGCTAAGGTACTCGGCTGCTGACCCGCAGGTCGCGGGATCGAATCCCGGCTGCGGCGGCTGCATTTCCGATGGAGGCGGAAATGTTGTAGGCCAGTGTGCTCAGATTTGGGTGCACCTTAAAGAACCCCAGGTGGGCGAAATTTCCGAAGCCCTCCCTTACGGCGTCTCTCATAATCATATGGTTTTGGGACGTTAAACCCCACATATCGATCAATTAATCTCGACCAGTGCGTCATATTCGCCAAACTATCTTACCCACCCTCCCATGCTAATTTTGGTTCATTGCAAGCTAAGAGGGGGGCACCCAGACATTAGCGGCTCAATAGATATAGATAGATAGACAGGTAAGTATGCAGACAGACGCCGAAAGTGTTTGCA